AAACGAACCACACAGAGACATTCCTAGAAGACCCTAACCAGAAGCATCGGACCAAGAAACCCTTAAGGTACGACCCACGGGGACCGTTAAAGGGTCGACCTTAACGTAGAAATACTTCTTCCTCCAGTCATCGTCACTACCAGAGAACTTAAAAAGGCCCAGCTTAGGCCGGCAAGGCAAATAATAGGTACCGCTACCCCCATCTTTCGAGGCACTCTCTTTAATAGTGTAGAGGCTCATCAGATCACGGAGGCCAACGGAAACCCCTTCCTCTTTAGCTCTGGTGATGAAACCGTTGACCACTCGGATAACCGAGGGACATAGCTGAGAGAGAGCTAGCTGGTAATGGTCGAGAAGATCCAGTAAGAGATCTGGGAGCGGGAACCTGAGATGGCACTTGGTAATGTATTTCTCGTGAACACAGAACCATCCTTCCGGAGCAGTCTCCGGAGTCTCGTCGGGTTTACAGGCCTTGGCTAAATCTTTCTGGCCTACAGCCTGAACCATCAAATTAACAACCTCCTGACTCCTCAGTAAAGAGGGCACGTGAGATCCGAAAGGGGCGCTCCCACCTGAGCCGTCGTTCTTCTTCGTTCTCTTGGAGACTCGTAATGCAATCGAGTCTCTACCCTTCTTGCTCGCTTCACCCTTCTTCATCTTTTCACCGATTTCCAGCTTAACCTTCATAAGCTGAGCACCGGAGGGAGGAATTTCAGTTTCCCCGGTACCCTCTTTGTCTTTCGTCATGATAGTAAAACGAAAGAAAGCAAAAAAAAAAGGGGAGCAAAGAAGTCGAAGAAAAGTTCGGATGAAAGCTTTCTCGACTATGGATTCTCAAAATATTAACTGAAACAAATATAACGACAGTAAAATAAAGAAGAAAGTGAACAGTTACCTGGGGAATCAAATCGAGACGTGGGGTGGTGGAGGAACAGCGCAGTTAATAACCGCAGCTTTATACCACGTCCAGCCTCGAAAATCGGAGTTGAAATTATTCAAAATACGCTAATCCCTACCGTTGATTTAACCTAACGANATCAAATCGAGACGTGGGGTGGTGGAGGAACAGCGCAGTTAATAACCGCAGCTTTATACCACGTCCAGCCTCGAAAATCGGAGTTGAAATTATTCAAAATACGCTAATCCCTACCGTTGATTTAACCTAACGAAATCCGGGCCGTAGAATTAAGGTCACGCGAATCTTCGATTGTAATCATTATCTCAAGGAACAAGAGGTTAGGCGGTTACACTGTAGCTTCCGAGAAAAGAGATCTTATCTCGAAAGCTGGGGGCAACTGTTGGGCCCGAATTTAGCCCGTTAGCTGAATTAATGGGCCGAGTAGTTGAAACCGTTTGCAAAGCATTACGAGCCCATTAGGAAGCCTCCCCTCAAATGAGAATCACATGAAATCATTACCTATCGGTAAAAACAGGTCACGAACAAAAGACTCGGGACCTCGTCTACAAAACAGCTAACGAGAAACAGCTCCAGTTAAACGTGCAAGACTTAGTCAAGGGGAAGCTGTTGCAAATCCCGCAACTCATGGAGACAATCATGGAGGCTTCGCCGGAAGAAGTTAGACGTGACCTAGAGCTATATAAAGAAGAGAAGAGATCAGAGAGAGAGGATTCGACTCATTCAAGAGAGAGAGACTCCAATACACTTTGTTCTTAGTTATTTTCTATAAATCATTGTTCTTTCTATTCAGATCAAAGGGATCATATTTGTAAACTCTTTCATTACCAAAAATCAATACAAACAACGTATTCATTCATACAAGTTCCAACAGGATTCAGCCCACGATTATCTTTTCCCAATCTAAACCTAACCTAAACTAGGAAGTGAGTTTTATCCCTCACAGTTTCCAACTGCAGCAACTTGGACCTTCTTGTTTCCTCCGGATCAGGAAGTTTCTTGGCACAAACAGGTCTGGTTCTCTGGCCATATCCCAAAACACGCCTTCCATACTTGGGTAAATGTTAGGCATAGATTGGCGACCAGGGATAGAATGAGACAATGGGGTCTCGACGTTCCAGCAAATTGCATGCTTTTCTCAGCTTACAATGAAACTCGTCAGCATATTTACTTCAATTGTCAATACAGTTCCCATATCTGGTTGTATTTCATGGCAAAAACCAATCTCCAGCCTCCTCAGGATTTTGATGCGCTCTTGAGTTGGCTCCATAGGCCTTCTTCCAACAGCCATTTAGTTCTCATCATTAGGTTTATCTATCAAGCTTCTAAGTACGCCATTTGGAAAGAGCGTAATGCTAGACTTCACTCCTCCATATCACGACCTCCTTAAGCAATTATCTCAGACATCAGAGACATTCTTCGACTTCGTTTGGACCCCCTCTCAAGATCTCTTGCCTCAAGATCAGCCTCCTTATCCTCCCACCCGCCTGTTTCTTTATTAGGAACTTGGCTTTCTCTTTTCTAACATGGTAAGTTTTAATAGGAGTAGAATAGATTTGTAAGGCATGCTAGTGTTGTAAGGCTATTTTGAGCCCTTTTGGGTGTGTATCGGTTTATATTTATTAATGGAATTTAAAAAAAAAAAAAATTTGTTTTTGTTGGGAAACAATTACATGAAAATATGAAGAAAATGGTAATAAAAACAAAAAGCGTGGAATTCATGCCGTTTTGGCTTTCGCTAGCTGCGTTTCTAAACGCAGGCGTTTGGACAGTGTATGCACTCCTGCCTTTCAATCCATTCATCGCTGTGAGTTTTTCAATTCTTTTTTTTTAATCAAACTAGATTTAACATTTATGTATGCATCAATATTTCATAACTAGAATTACCTATATAACTAGATTTAATCTATATACTAGATTTAACATTATGTATGCATCTATATTTGATAACTAGATTTACCTATATTTTTTTGTCAACAATTTTAATTCATAACTCAAGCCAGAGTACATGGAGAACCAAGTTTGGGGACACCACCCATTACAAGAGCAACAACAATTAAACATAAGGTTTTGCATAAATTAAAAACATGATAACGGAACGACGAGAGGGACAAGGTTTCTAACAATGAAGAAGCCTGTAATCTCAATCAAATCCAACCCCGAGCGCAGGGCAAAAAAGGGAACAATAGAGTCCACTAGAATCTGAAGACTTACAAGTCCAGATGATAATGTTGAGTGAGGAGCTTTCTGCAACGTTCCAGCTTTGACGCTTTGATTAGAACTTATGATCCAAGTTCCATTAACCAGACATGTCTTCCAAGAGTTTGATTGCTGAGGGACGGATTGCCATGGCCACATAGATTTACCTATATATACTAGATTTTACTATGATAGAGTAAAAGAAATGAAAAGGTGTATGTTAATTTTATGGAGAAAACGAGTATTTTATCATTGTTTTCATCATAACATTATGAAAACAATGTTATTATGGAATTGGATGTGTATTTTTTTTTTTTTTCAGATACCAAATGGAATTGGATGTGTATTTGGACTGGCCCAATTACTATTGTACGGAGCTTACTATAAATCTACCGAGGGAAGTTGGCTTATCCGGTGCGTTTGTTCGTGTTGACCATTGAGAAGCCCACAAATTTCAATCAACGGCTTAGTGTTGATTTGATCTTCTCATACTATTCACCATCCGATTATCAGCCTTTTGAAAACTTTCGACACACTATTTTGCAATCTTCGTTTATTAATTCCAGTGTCTGTTATTTTAGTAGCAATGTACTTTTTCAAAGTACTGGGTGTAATGTTATAACTTATAAGATTATGTGGGCTCAAATAAAAGTTAATCTATCACCTTTAAAATATGGTGCCTATGTGTTTAGGGGATTGATGTTAACTTTCAAATAATTTATATAATTATAAAAAAGTTCTAATCTTAAAAATGTATCATATGAAATTTATGAATTAAAGGCTTCGGTATAAACGTAAATGATTCATCACCTTTCCATCTCCAAGTTATCTACTAATTACTATGGAACTAATACCTAACAAAAATAACTCATCCAACCAAATTCGCAGTGTATTGTGTCTACGGCATGAAAGTTTTCGTGGAAATAAAATCTGCAAGTTTTCTCATTTTGTTTGTCAAATTTTATCAAAGACAATTAGTTAAGTGATCATGAAGCTAAATATAAATAAAGCAAGAATAAAGATATAGCAAAGGAGCGCGAGTCTTTAGCATGTCCTACGAGTGCGGTTGGCCATAATAACCAACAAAACTCTTCTACAAATTCCAAATTTTTAACAACACAAAAACAAACTCTACAAAACAGTTTTTAGAAGAAACTTCTTTGAGAGATATAAGTCACTTATAAAGAAAACATTATATAAACTCTTCACAGGAAAGAGAGACGCTTTATACAGAGAGATAATTTTTAAAAAATGGCGGGACCTGACCAAGCAGCAAAGCAGTCGAGTGAAGTATTGTGCCAGCGGCGATCGTTAGGGATATGTCCTGTGAGAGCAGCAGCGGTTGGATTTGTGATAATCGGTGGACTTGGCTACATGGTTTTGTACAGTAAGAAGAAGCCAGAAGCTTCAGCAGGTGACGTTGCTAAAGTGATATCAGGTGTTGCTGGTACTCCGGAGAATACTCGTCCTCCTAATTAACCCTTTTTGTTATATTTTTTTTTGAATCGCATAAAACTTAATTAACATTATCTTTCATTGTTTTCTTTGAATTTGTTGTTCATATGTGGGGCATGCTATATACTTGCACCGTTCCAATAGAAAACCAAAAAGTGTTCAATAATCCTTGTAAAACTGTTTTATAAAACTGTATTGAAATCAAGCCGGTTAAAGTTTTTGATAAGAAGCGATTTAGAGTTAAAACTCTAGGAAGCCAAAAAATTGAATCGATACACACTCTAAAACTTACGGGTGGAAGATTTGTTGGTTTTTAGTAAAAATTTCGCGAAAATATCAGAGGTGAAACATACTCCGGAAGAACTTTCCTTATTTTAAACAAAATGCATGTTGTTTTTAGAAAGGAAATGGGACAAAATATACACACTGAGCCAGCCAGTTGGCAATGCATGGGGAGCCAAGCCTAGCCTCTCTGTAAGGCTTTACACAAATACATATGTGGACACACACATATATATATATTTAGAAAAGCTTATGTTCCCCGATGTGGAACTTTAGTTGGTTTTGTCACTTAGACAAAAATTGCAGTGTTTAATACGCACTAAATTACCAGCTCCATCTCTTCATTTCTCATTCAATTTAACTTTGTTTTTAATAAAACAAATATACTGGCTTGTAGTGCTCGTTGCAAGCTTCCTAATGAGCTAATAATCTAGTCATTACGACCACCGATTTGGCCGGAAAAGTCACACAGAAAGTTGAAAAATCATTTGTCCAAAAACTGAGTTCTAACAGTGCCCCCCCCCCCCCCCTCAGTCACAGTAGTTTAGAGAGATTCCCAAAACAACGGGGAAGAATATTAGAGAAGTCCGGTTTGCAGCTCCTTGCCGCAAATAAACAAGGAGAAAACTCTAGGGTGAGAGTCAGAGATAGAAACTTATCGTCCCGAGTCCATTAAAAACAGTGAGAATTGTTCTTGTTAGGCTTGATGATTGAATGTGTTTATTATTAGTTCTAATTTGTAAATCGTTGTAAGCAAAATTTGTACATCGTAGAAATTAAAAAATAAATTAAAAGAGCTGTACTAGGTTTTGGTTGGAATCGGTTAAACCGATATGGATACTCCTACTGATGATAGTGTCATACATTTGCCAGGTCCTCGACGAAGTACACATAACGACGAATTCGAGAAAAAAACAAAAGAGTAATCCAGTTACAGTACATTAGACAATAACACATTCGCACTACTGATTCGGCAAGCACTTAAGCACATGTTTTTGAAAGTAGAATCAATCACAAGTGGTTCAAACACGCGATTCCATTTTCTTGACAGCAGCTTCGATGGCTGGAATATTTTTCTTGAACGTTGACCATTGCTCATCTGTTAAGCTTATTCCTGCATACACAACCAAATAAAATATATAAATGTCAGAGACTTAAAACAGATCATGGCACATCCATTTTTTTTGCTGCTGAACACAGTTCACTAGTTCGTTATATTTTCTTTTTGCCTACTGTAAGAGTTATATAACATGAACAATTCTTCATTTAATTTTTTTTTATATCATAATTCAGACCAAAATCACGACTCCTAGTCTCTATTTAAAGACGAGGGTGGTCTTCAAGAGATGACGATAAACCACTCACAACATTAATCTGCTTGCAACTCCTATGGATTTATCAACTGAAGAAATTGTTCAAGTTATATAATCTACAGAAGAATATTAAAAAAATAAATAGAAAACATGTTGTGCAGCCAAAATGGGTCAAAGCATTTTAGTATATACTAAAAATGGAACTTAATACAAATGTGGCTGTAAGAATTTCAACTAAATGATGTTAAAAGAGGTGATGTGTACCTTTAGAAGAAGGAAGCTCTTTGCCGTCTTTCTTGTAATACTCTCTGATGGAAACCAAACTCTTTCCTTTAAACTCCTGAATCGTCACTCTCCTCTTATCCGAAAGCTAAGACAAAACCCATAAGAGATAAGTACGAGATTAACTGGCTTTCTAGTGACGCTAAAACAGAAATCGGATCCCTTACTCGGCAAATGATGAGGTCACCGTCATCGTCGAACTCTTTGTTTCCCTTACCTCTTTCTTCTTCTTCTACTACCTCCTCTTGATTGTCCTGTTCTTGTTGTTTCGATTCCACTTCTTCGAGGAATGATTTGACGATACCGCGAACAAAAGCCTTGTGAGATTTGTCTGAGAGATCGATGCCGAGTTTCTCCGAAGCGAGATTACGGACCTTGAACTCTGTCATCTCCGTCATGTCGGATTCCTTCAGAATCTCTCGTACCGTTTCCTCGATCTTCACCTTGCTTTCTTCATCCATCTTTAGGGTTTTTTTCTTTCTTTTTGCGGCGGCTTCTCTGAGAATTCTGCAGTGTTTTAAAACGGAGGTTAACCTAATCAGGTAATCGGAGATTTCGGTTGTCCAAGTAATCCTACGTGGCGTCCACTAGCTCACTCTACGTGGCAGTTGGAAAGTTTGCTTACGCTAACCAACAATTTCAAATTTAACATGTATTAGATTTTGATCTGTGCGCCGGCACTAGTGTAGTTCTCTTGTCAATCTGCTTGTGTAATTCGTTTAAAAAGTTGTCTTTTAAAAAAAGTATTTTGCGGGTTGATGGATATCCGCAGTTTAAATTCGACTTATCTACACTCATTCCGCATAGAATATACTAAATTCACACTCTCCTCACATATTTTCAAAATATGTTTATTTTTACCCGTCCTACAGTGAGTCAAACAAGACTGAGTCCATGTGTAAACAGTCAAATTCACAAAAAAATTTAATGTGAAATATAAAAACTACAATATAAATTGGTGTTTGAAATTGGACTTTGTATTATATTTTTTATATATATTGAAAACTTTTTTTTATAATCGCTATTGGAAAATATTTTAGTAAAAATCAATTTTTTAATATATATATATATATATTAGAATCAAAATTTTCTATAAATTAGTTTTAAATTATTCTTTTGATTTGAAATATGTATATAAAGTTTAAATTTTGTATTATGATTATTTTAAAGAAAAAATATTTTAGGTAATTAAATTAATCAATTTGCATATACTGTAAAGCTGGCCCAAATAGATAGTTTATTATAAGAATTTCAATATTTCTTAATAACTAAGCCCATTTTGTTTTTAAAAGACCATTTTGTTTTTAATATACTGTAATTCATGTTGCCAAACAACAATATATTTCTTTTATTAAATGTTATCCTTGTTCCCAAACAACTCTCAAATGTACTTCAACTTTAATAATATAGATTTGTATCTTCTTTTATGTATTTTAGTTTGTTGAATTAGTGTTTGACTATTAAACTTATGCACTTTTGAAATGCGGTTTAGTAAAATAAATAACTATTTTCATTTCAAAAATATTTTAACATTTCAAATAAAATTAAAGTCAAGAAAAAATAAAATGATATCTTCTTATGTTATAATGATAAAGTAATTAATTAAATATTTAATATTATTTATTTTTATTTTTGCAAAAACTAATTATAAAATATTAAACAAACAACATTGATCCACGCTAATAAAGCTCGGAATATTTTGTGATACAAAAATTTAATAATGTTACAAATATTTTGTTAATTTTAAAATATTTTATCTTTTTAAAAAAAAATTGTATTTAAATCATTTTTAGCCCAATTTAGAAATGTGGTTAAACCGATAAACTCAGTGATCCGATATATAATTTGATTAATTTAAGAAAAAATCATTATTTAAATACTCTATAAACCTCTCAAAAAGTGTTAAAACCTAAGAAAATAATCGGTTGAATGGATGTGTAATCGATATGTAATCCAGATAGATGTATATTATCACTTTTAAAATTTAAAATTTAATTTAAATGGTTACAAAAAATGTAAATTCCAATGTATTCTTTAGATATGTACTTCTAATTTTAATTTATTTTATTATATTTTTAACTTTGTTACAAAAAGCTTAAATTATATTTTTATAAATTTAATTTAAAATAGAAAAGAAAGGAAAAAAATATTTAAAATTTTACTAAATTTTTTATATAGATAGACTTTTTCTTGTATTTTTAATATATATATATATATATATATATATATATATATATATAAAACGTACTATAATAATCGCAATATATAGTCTTCTTTACAAAGTGGCAAATTATAAATTTACAAATTTATCGGTTACTTTATAAATTTGAAACATTAATAATAATGATATATATATATTTATATATCATAAAAATAGGATTTAATTTAATTATTTATATACAGATATTTAATTTAGATTCTGTATTCGAATCAAATCTTCTTAATTTTAGCATTACACCTACCACATATACATATAATAATACTAAAAAATTAGAATAAGATTTTATAGAATGATATAATAAGACATATTATTAGTATTGAATAAATTATAACTGATTTATGGTCTATTTTAAGAAAATCAGACATAAATTAAGGTTGTAACTTCTATTTTAATATATAAGATTGTTTGTTACTACTTGTTTGATATCTATAAAAATAGATATTCTATATATTTTTGAAAAGGTTTTACTATACTTTTTATTTATTTTGTGAACAAAATTTTTGTAATGTATTGTTACCATCTAAAATTCCTAAACCTAAAATTTAATATCTAAACTTTTAAAGCTAAAGTACAAATAGTACTTAACGAAAAGTTTTTCTCAATAATTACATGTGCCTGATTCAGTCCTCTACGTGTTTCTAGCTATTCACATCACATCAAATGATACAAGCCCTTATGCCACTGGTATCTTCTTAACAACTTTACTAATTATATTGTTAGACTTTCACGCCATTTTACGAAACAGAACAAAAAGCCCATTAACATTTGCGTATCCAATAATTTTAAGAGAGAAAATGAAAGACCTTTTCTTTGACACCAACAGAAAATTTTTCTAACAAAAAATGTAAACACATCCCTTTCCTGGAAAAAAGTCGATTTGCCTATCAAATTGGGCTTATACGATTTTATTAATTATTCAAGCCCATTTTGATTACTATCATAATTTCCCATTTAGATTTATATTAATTGTATGATTAAGTAGGTTTTTGTCCAAAAAAAAAGTATGATTAAGTAGGTTTAGTACAATAAATTTCTATAAAACCCAAAAATGTATATATAATTAAATATAATAAATCAATTAACTTATTTTATAACATATTGCACACATTATTTATTTCAAGAAAATATATATGATCAAATCTGTATAAAATAATCACCTCATACCTATTTTTTTATTATTAAGGACTCAAAATATATATTCAAGATAAATAATGAATTATTATAATAAATAAATAATATATACAAAAAATGTTAAGTCCCCTTTCTGTTATATATATACATTTCAATTTTAACGCATATATATAAGCAACTCAAACATATGAAAAGTTTAAACAATTAATAAAATTGATACATACAAACTAAAAAATATATTAAACATCTTTTAAATATCGGTAAGTGGTAAAATATATACAATAAATCAGCTATGAAAACTTGAATAATATACAAGTTTGTTAAGATATCCGCGTGGACGTGTGGGTTCAGAATCTAGTTTATAAATTTAAACTAGATTCTTAATCCGTGAAACTGCGCGTGTTTATTTTCATATTATATATATATATATATATTTGTTTTATTAATAAGGACATTAGTCATACATTTAAATATTTATATAACTATTACAAACACAATAATTGTATAGGCTACATGGTAATATCAATGGTTCAATAGCTTCTTTTTGTATATTTATTATTGATTTGCATTTAATTATTAAATAAATCAATAATATGCATGAAAAATCATATTTGCAAATTATTTTATATTTTAATTTATATTAAATTTTGATCTTAGTTTCGAAGTTAGATTACAATGTAGCAAACTTTCTATGTTTATTTAGATAATATATTATTGTATATATAAAAGTTTAATATATGTTAATTTTATATATGTATTATATAGTTACTAATGTCAACCTGTTTTCAAAAATCTTTTTATATATTTTTAACATTAATATTTTATATTTATAAAAATAAAATTGATTAATTTCAATTTAATATAATTTTATAGCAGTTACTTTAGTATAATAATTTTCATTTAATATGATAAATTAGGATAGAAAATAGATAAAAGAATAGAATTTTTTTTTGTTTTATAAAAGACAACTGAATATATATTATTTTATAATTATATTTCATGACTAATTTGAAATTAGTGAAATATTTACATAATGTTTTTAAAATTAAGATTTTGCTAAATATTTTCAACAGATTTGTTTAAAATTTAATATATATTTCTATTTAGAATAAAAAGATATCAAAAAATATTATGATTAAATTAGTTACAAAGAAATGAAATTTTATTTAATAAATATTTTTAGTGGTGGTCCAACTAAAAAACACACACATAAAATGAGCCATGACTTCTCTTTTAAGATAATAGACTAGATTTTGGCCCGCGCTTGAGAAGCGCATGTTTTGTTTTGGTTGTAACAAAGTGTATCAAATGATTCACTTTCTGTTATATGATAGTTTTATATATGAAATTTGATGTATATTTTACTTTTTAGTAAGGTCTTTTCATTGAGTATTATTAACTTCGGAGTCTTGTAAGAAAGAATAGCTTCTTTTCCTTTTCTGATCAGATGTCACACTTTGTTGTCTCCCATTGTTGTTTATGTTCTCGTTAGTCATAGAAGCAGCAATGGTGATATCGATGAAGGCATGAAAATGGGATGAAACCTAAACCTTTATATTTTTAGCTTCTGACCGAAGTTTTGACCTGCGCTATAAATAAGTTTTATAATTTAATCTATACTATTATAAAGTGAAAACATTTTTGTTGAAGAATATAAATATCGTTGTTTCAATTCATCTGCCTCTAGTATTTCAGGATTAACAAACATCTGACTTACATCATAAGCATTTGAAATTTGAACGTCACCTATAACCAAAAATAAATCATAAGAATTTGAGTAATTTGTTTTCTGACATAAAATAAAAAATGAAGGAATGCTAAAAATATTGAGTTAGTAAAAACATCTTTCCAACTATATAAATAATGGTCATTTAGTACAAAATCGAAACATAAGTTTTCATTTTCAAAGAGTACCTCCATATTTCCCAATCTTAGCAAGTCGTAGAAGACATATCACCATGCATTCTATTTCTTGGCTAGGTGTATCAAGATTCTCAGCAAATTTACCCCAGAGGCATCAAGCTAATCTATGACCATTAATAGAATTATATATCAAGTTATAAATCAATATGTTTATAGGCCTATATCTTTTATATTAAATATATAAAACTTACGAAATATCAACGAGACTAAACTCCAACTTATTCCTTTGTTTCTCACCACAACACCCTATGGTTTCCAGATCACCCAAGTCTTGAACTTGTCCAATAACATAAAAAAAAACATTAGCATTTAGGTTAAACTTTTACAAAATGAAGATATCTAAAAACAATTATCATTTAGGTTAAACTTCAGTTTTAATAGTATAGATAGAAGGACACCAAAGTGTTAGCAAGAACAATGATCTTGTTCATTCGAAAAACCAAATCAAAACGCAAAAGAAAAAGAACCACAACAGGGAATTCTTGAGTTACCTAACCACAACAGGGAATTCTTGAGTTACCTAAATCTTAGTCAGTCATTTATTCCATAGTCCTCTCCATATATATATATATATATATATATTTCCGCGACAATGTATGATTGGATTTCATCTAGATAATGTCACATATTTCAGAAATTTAAATGATCATTTAAATAAAATAATTGATCATTTAAATTATTTTTTTTCATAGAAAAAAAAAATTAAATAATCAATTTATTTTATTTAACTAGAAACCAACATTAATTATCTAATCACGCCATATTTATTACTTTTGAAATAAACTGAGCAATAATTCGAAACTCAAGCACATGTTATACATGAAATAAATAATATATATAATTTTCTTGGGGTTAAATCGAAAAGACACTAACTAGATAAGAGCTGATACACAGTGGTGGCCTGAAGAAAAACATTACAAGCACTAACCAGATAAGAGTTGATGCACAGTGGCGGCCTGAAGGGAAATAGTACAAGCTTGCTGCCGCAAATAATATAGTCAAAATATCAGCCATTTTTACATGATATTTTCAGCAGGTCATATGGTTAAAACAATGAATGTGTGGTTTAGAGGTTTAATGTTCAATTTGTCATTTATACACATTTTTTTTCCTTCTAATTAAGTTACCAGCCCACAAAATTTATTTTTCTTCTAGCTCACATAGTTGTAGGACCGATTCTGCTGATACAAATATTTTTTCTTTACTCTGGCTTAACCTCCAATTGGAGCTTTTTAAACTTGTGTTATATTGACCATTCACTCTCTGCTGTATTGATCTCGTTAAAATAAATCTGTAACAGGCTAACCAAAGAAAATGAAAGGTGAACATGAAACGTTATAATAGTTTCTTTATATATAAACCAAAATCAAAATCAGAAAAAATCAAATATTTATTACAATCAAGAAGATTTATCTCCCTAATCCTGTCCATCTTAGCAAGTGAGCTTAGGGCATTTTGTGTCACGTCAACATTCCTGAATTTGTAACTCTTTTTTTTCTTTATCGAAATTTATATGAGAAATATCCTTACCAAACCGTGTATGTTGCGTTTGTTTTATTCGGTGGGCCCATCGTTATTACAGAAACTTGGTCCGGCCCGACATTTCTCTTAGAGTTCTCTAAGCTTCTTCATCTTTGATGTTCAACGCTGATGGCCATAATTTCTAAAAAATACTTCTGAAACGTTTGTGCTTCTCTTTAACTCCACAATTAATCTAGTCAATCTAGTGGAACAGGTCGGGGTTTTCGGCTTCACAGCGACACTGAATTTCTTTGAGGAGCAGAACGCAATGTACTCGCCAATCACAAACGATGATGGAATGTACAAATACCTGAAAATAGTGACCATTGATTTGTTGGAAGACAATCACTTCGCGGTGGCTCCACAAGTGATGGGAGCTGAAGACTTTGCATTCTACTAACAGGTCATCCCGGCCGCATTCTATTTCACTGGAATAAGAAATGAGGAAATTGGATCAATCCACATTAGTCATTCAATCCACATTAGTCATTCACCGCATTTCATGATCAACGAAGATAGTTTACCAGTTGGAGCCGCTGTTCAGGCCGCCGTTCTGAGAGATACTTAAATGATAAACGTTCATAAGAATTAAGACAATCTTCCCAAATTTTTTTGGGTAATTTTGTTTTAGGTGTTGCATAAAATTATTATCCATCTTTGTGTCGACAGTGTTTCTGAACTTTTTTTTCCTTTTTCTTTTAAACATTTTTAAACGTGTAGACCGCATATATTGCATACGAAGTAGTGGTCTTTATATCTACATAGTATTGTTTCGGTCAACGTTTTCAGGATTTTTATTTTACATGGATTTATTGGAATGTGATATGCTACGAAGTTGGTAGGTTAAACTTGTTGCAACAATTATTGCAAGTCTATTGGGCTAAGTAAAAATGAAGTATATGTGAATAGAATTTTATATGTCTATTTGGCTGAGTGAGAATATAATCTAATGTGAAGTAAATATTGTACTTTATATGGAGAAAATCCATTACATTTTGCAAGTCCTTAGGCTGAGTAAAATGATGGAAAAACATTTTACTAAGTTGAAGACTAAGCTAAGTCTATTTGGTGACAAATGGCATAATCTAAGTAAACTTGGTGACTAAGCTATCTTAATAACCAAGTTACCAATTTAGTGATAAATATCTAAACTAAAGTACATTTGATGACTAATCAATGTGAGTTAGTGACAAATGGCTTAACTAAAGTACACTTGGTAACTAACCAAGGTGACTTAGTTACAAATGACAAAAGCTTAGCAAATTCAGTGACAAATGTCTAAATTGCTAATGACTAAACTTTGTGAATCTCTCCTATAAATAAACATCTTACCTCTCCATAAAACAACGAGATACACACACTTTCATAAACTTTTGAACTAAAGAACTCACTCATAAAAAGTTCCAGCAATACTTCTAGTCTTTCAAAGTAAGTCTCGAGAGTATAGTATGGTTGTTATGTTCGTAGATTCTGTTTTGGGTGATGCAAAACTGTCTAACGTGGTTTTATCCTGGAACTCAAAAATCATAGAGAAACCGTCTCACATACGGGTGATTTACTGAGTTAAGGAAAGTGATCATATCACGACTCCACGTATTCGTCTTTTTCCTATTGCTTGTCAACATTTATTATCGCTTTATATTATTGTTATCATCACATTTTGATTCTTAATTTTCAATCTGGATTCTCGTGTCCTAACATACTTCACTCAGTAAATCCCTTCCTGCTTATAGCTTGAATCAGATTGAATATTGCAAAAAGTATTTCTAAACGATTTTATAATCGGTTTTATAAAATGTTTTTAATCAGTCCAAAATTGTTCTGAGAACGCTCTTAGCTTTTCTTAATAACGTTTTGGAATTGGAGATGAATGATCTTTAGAAAATGATTTACGTGACATTCATTTGAAAGGATCAAGAACTCATTTTTCTAAAAATATATAGTGTTTAGGATAGCCATTTGGCGAATCCGAAAAATGACTATCAAAGTTCAAGAACGCTTTTTAGTGATTCCAAGAACAATTATTAGCAATTTAAATTGCTTACTAGAATTGAGTTCACAGTACTTACTACGGTTTGTTTATTGTGAACAGATTCAAAAATGGAAAATGTCCAAGGGGTAGTTCGAACAGTGAGGAGGCAACCCAAACCGGGAATGGCCAACCACTTGGAACTCAAACTTCACAACTTCTGGTTGTACCAAGCAACATAGGTGGACTTCCGCCCGATAGTTTTGATGGATCAAACTTTAAACAGTGGCAGCAAAGGATACATTTCTTTTTAAGTACACTGAATTTGGCTAGGTATCTTACCAAAATCAAACCAGTGTTACCTGTGGATAATACAGATCCGAGGGAATTGGCGAGCCTTGAAGCATGGTGAATTCCTATGTAAAGGCTATATCCAAAATTGTTTGGTGGACCAGATTTTTAATGTATACAGTGAGGTTGAAACCTTCGAAAACCTATGGGATACTTTGGAGAAGAAATACAAATCCTTCAATGCAGGCTCGGGAAAATTTCTACTGCAAATTTTCTCAACTTTTTGATGGTCGATTCACGACCTATCATGGAACAAGTACATGAGCTAAAATTGATCTTTCAAGAGATCGCTGATGAAGGTATGAAGCTTTGTGAGACTTTCACGTAAATTGCTTCATTGAGAAAATTCCTTCAAGTTGGGAAGACTTCAAAAATTATCTTGCTTACAAGCAAAAGTTCTTGACTTTGGCAAACTTAATTACCTGGCTTCAGAATGAGTCATTGAAACGTCGAAAAGATGGGCCATTCTGTACTCAAGATGCTAATATTTCTGAGTATAGGAACAAGGGTATAGGGAAGGCAATATTTCAAAAATCCAAGCCGAAGCTTGTTCACAAAGCACTCTCGGGCTTCAAAAGACAAGCTCAACCTCCCATGAAGAATAAATTCGGAAGGAGATGTCGCCATTGAGGCAAGATGGGTCATAAATCATCTGAATGTCGCTGGAGGCTATGGGGAAAAAACAATTCAACCTCAATGAAGCAGATCTGTGTGATATGGTCACAGAAGCTCATATGGTTGAAGAAAATTTGGTCGTATGACAAAGGTGCCACCACACATATCAGCATCAATAGAGATATGTTCAGTACCTATTAGAAGTGTAACTCTGAAGATCATGTGAAGATGGGAAACATATCTCAATCTAAGATCGAAGGTACTGGAAAGGTTTTGTTGAAGATGACTTTTGGAAGGGAGATCACTCTCACCAACGTAAAACATGCTCCATACATGAAGAAAAATCTGATTTTCGGATCTCTGATGAGTAAGCACAGTTTTGGAATCAACTTCGAATCCGACCAGCTGATACTCAGAAAGAAGGTGTTTTCATAGGAAAATACTTCGTTAAATCTGGATTAGTCAAAATTTGTGTAATGACAATCCTTAAGAACAAACAATAGACATGTTTCTGACAATTAATGAATAAGAATCCAGTTGCTTATATCATTAACTCTTCTAATATTTGGCATGACAAATTAAGACATGTAAATCAAAAGTCTATAGAAAGACAAATGAACCTAAACATGATCGCGAGGTCCAAAATTAGTAAAGATACTAGGTGATTACCCCCTCTCATACGCGGAATAAAATTTCTATACAAAAAAATATTTAATACTAACTTTGATAATTCAACCATCGTTTCATAAGTTCTCAAACGTAGAATAATGACACTTAATATAAGGTTGTTGAGTATGGGATCATGTTGATATTTTTTTAACCTATTTAATTCATAATAGATTTCAATGATATCACCGGGATGTTACCATTCACATTATCACTTCAGTATAAAAAATTGTATTTATGAAATGATAACATTTGAGATCCACGCTTGCGCCGAATGAACATTAATTATGTACTGCGAAAAAATACATTAATTATGTATACAAATTATTGATACATATTATTAAATTTTTTTGTTCAATTACGTATTATGAAATAATAAATATATTAAATATTTGATAATTAAGTAACTATTACGTATAAAATTAAGTTGGAGTAAGACAAAGAAAAATAATGTCTTTTTTTTTATTTACAATACTTTGGTTGGCAAAAAAACAAAAAAAAAACATCATTTATTTATTTTATACGGCATATAAATAAAATAAAATAATAATATTTACATAGATATATTATATATATTTTAATAGGATTATTTATTATTGAGGCTTTGTACTTATATGATTTTATTAAAAAAAATTATATCTTCTGGAACAAAATTTTATTTTTATAAATATGAATATTTATTAATTGAGGCTTCCTACTCAATATAATATTTGATATTAACATTTTTATGTATTTTGTATATGATATTTATTTTATTTAAACGATATTGAAAAAAAATATATATATATATATATTTATTTAATTTTATTATATATTAAATGTGACGCCATATTTTTATGATTTTTATAACTATTTGTATTTTATTATAACAAAAAGTTAAAGCCTTGATTACAAAATGTTCGTTGTGGGATTTTAATATATAGTCTTAGTAATTTATAGTCCTTTAAAAAATTCATAATATAGCATATAAAAAAAATCTAAATTTTGATTATATGGTTAATGTAGTTGTTTAAATTTTTTAAGAATATAAAATTAAAAAAAAATAATTGAGGATACAAGAATTGTTTTCAAATATTTATTAGTCAAAATCATTAATTATCATATATATGTTAACCATATTAGGTAATTTCGTAACCTATTTGTAAGAAAATAATGTAGAATATTCTTTTGTACTCTTTTAATTAATTTGATAGTTAGTTTAATAAAATCTATAATATATGTTTGGATGGACCAACCTTTTTTCTAAGGATTCTAAAATCATTGTGGTGACGACACGTGGCTACCAAAACATGTTGTAATGTTTCTCAATTAATATATATGGAATATGTGAAGTTTGTGTCCAAGCAAAACTCACAAAAGCACCATCACCTCATGTCGGAAAAACAACCGAACCTCTAAGTTTAATACACACAGATTTGTGCGATTTAAAGTACGTACAAACCAGAGGCGATAAAAAGTATTTTGTGACTTCCATTGATGATTTCACAAGGTACTGCTACGTATACTTGTTACGTAGTAAAGATGAAGTGTTGGAAAAGTTCAACGAGTACAAACTCAAAGTTGAAAGACAACTCGAAAAGACTATTAAAATAGTCAGAAGTGATAGAGGAGGCGAGTATGATGGACGATTTAATATGTTTTGTCAACAAAATGACATTACATCCAAGCACACCTCCTTATTCACCAGAATCTAACAAATTTGCGGAACGAAAGAACCAAACTCTCAAAGAGATGATGAATGCATTTTTGCAGGAATCTGGTGTAGCCCAGCATCTGTTGGGGGAAGCTCTTCTCTCCGCAAACGAAATCCTCAAAAAATACCTCATAAGGTATCTGGCAAAACGTCATATGAATTTTGGAAAGATAATGTACCTTCGTACAAATACCTCAAAGTGTGGGGATGTCTAACAAAAATGGCAGTACCACCTCCTAAAAAGGTTACAACTGCACCGAAAACCATGGATTGT